AATCAATGTCGCGGCTGATATTGAAATTTGGGGTCTCAATTTGGATCCAAGACGACCCCCAAAGTGCCAGGGACATAATCATGGCGCATCTATAGTGTATATATATATTGCAATTTTAAAATTGCTATCTAAAAAAAAAAAGTGAACCAATAAGTTGCACTAATTGATCTTACGTTACTGGCTCTTTGGGGGTCCTCAATTTGAAAAATATAAGCCCTACTAAAATCCACATATACACTTTGATTATAAATTTTAGTCCATAATACTAACCAAATCTCAAAAAAAAAATGGAAAAAAACAGTCCAAAAAATTTCTTAAAATTTCATATCATCAGCAGCAATAACATAAATTAGGGAAATTCTATTTATACGCGGGTGAAAATGGAATTTCTCTAATTTGTATTGTTAATTACCTTAGAACTTTGTAATCCCTAATACATTAGATTATTCGGTTAAACCATTTGGTTATTCAATTTAAAAAGATGAATATCCGAATATGGCATGTCAGATAAATGATGCTGGCTAACTTTTTAGAGATTATATTATGTTCTTTTGGGAAAACAACTTCGGGAATAGGGCTACCGATTCCTTATTCTAATAATATTTGAATAATTTAAATTAGCAAATGTTCATTCGAATATTCGTTGAATGACAAATGTCATTCAAATTTTGAAGTCTCACATGACAAATAATAGAGTTTTCTATTCGCATTGTTTGTCAATAATTATATAAAAAAGTTTTATCCGAATATTCGCCGAATACGAATATTATTTGGATAACGGACACGAATAGGATGTTCTATTCGTGAACTTGAGTTACATTGGGCATACTGTATTTATAAATAAATAAATAATAGATATATCAAACAAAATAAAATGTGACAAAGTGTGCGCACACGATTCTGTCGTTTAACATTTCACACAACTTTTATTTTTTTATTAATAATAAATTACAATCTAAAATCATATGCATTAATGATAATTTTTTTTCTCTAAATACAGGCTAATAAATATTAATTAGCTACACTAATTAGTTATACTAATTAAGCAATGACGAAGCTTGCATCCATAGTAAACTAGGATCTCTAACGCTTTTCTCGTCATAAAATAACCTATGATCTGCCTTTCTATATGAAAATTCCAAAACTTCTTGATCATTTTTAACACTATATTTTTCAAATATAGGAAATGCAAGAATACCATAAAGGTCAAAAGGTTGTGGTGAAAGTGGATTATCAAGTAACCCTAACTCGAACAAATCTTTAAATAATGCGTAACTATTGAAAGCTTCCCCACCAGTGAATGATGAAAATGATAAAGGTGTATCTGCAAATCCTCCAACTGCTATGGTGGCAACACCTTGCAATTCTGCTAAATGTTGGGCTATTCTTGCACATGATGATCCACAAATACCATTGGTTAAAATAATTATATTTTTTGATGTCCATGGATATTTTGGCGGGCTGTTCCCAAGGACTTGTTGAATGATTACTCTATTTCTAGTATAGATGAATTTGTTAGTATATCTTACTTGAGTCCCACGCGTGTATACATTGTTCCCTATAAAATCTTGGGAAGTGTTGAATACTTGTTCTGTAGAAAATAATGCATATTGTTGAGCCTCAAAAACGCTATCAGATATTTGTCCTGTAGTCGCTGTTTGGATTGCTAATGTGGAAAAGTTAGTGACTTTTCCGTCACTTGGGAAAGAAGGATTGGTATTTGGGAACAATAAAATATTCACAAATTCAGCAACGGATATTATACCACCGCTATTATCGGTAAGATCAAGAACAATCTAAAAAAAGAAAATCAAGAATGAATTATTAAAAATGAATGTTTTTTAGTAAAAAATTGGTTAATATTATAATACCTTTTTTGCACCCATCTCATTAAGTTTATTGAAACCTTGTAATATGTTTATCATCTGTTCTTGTTCATCAACAATAGGACTGAGAGTGGAAATCATTGCAATTCCGGTCTGATCCAGCATGTAGAAACGAGAACTCGTACCATTAAAAACCATTTGTGCATTTGATATCATACTATCATAAGTTTTACTGTAGTCGCCAAAATTATTAAGTGGATTAATTGGAGCGGGAGTTACTGTAGCCGCGCAAAAATTGTTCCAATAAGAGGTTGAGTCTGTAAAATTATCATAA